ATAATGAATAATATAATTTAATTTTAGTCTTCTGAAATAACGTAAACATTTTATTTTAAAACCGTTTTCAGAAAAAAATAAAATCTTTAATCTACTAGTTGTTTCTAATAAACATTGTATTTTATAGATACTAAAATTCTAAAAAGAATTTGAGGAAAATAAACTTAAACAATGCATATGGCTGATTTATATACATTGGTAAAATATAATTATTTAAATTAAATACTATTTTGTCTTTACACCAATATAAACCATTATGAATTGATCTAAACATATACAAGAATATAATATGTTTAGATAAGTACTCGGCGTATACGGTATACTATAATAAATTAACAGCAAATTAAAGGTTTAGATACTTTAAAGTATTTCATTAAATAATAAGAAAATTTTACCAGATACTTATTTATATCAATGAAATAGATTAAAAATTACAAATTGAACTGAACCTGCTAWCAATTCTAAAYTTACAAAGCTATTTCTAGATCAGCTCCAGCATGGACTCTGGACATATAGGTACTCCAATGATATTCAGRCATGGATTTGACAGTTGTCAAACTGTTGATGTCTTTGGTTCATCAAAATAATAATCTTCACTATTACTTTAAAATACCAACATTATCACAACCAACCAAATCTTACTACAATTTATATTAATCAATGTTAACCCATTATCAAAACTCGCTAATTAATCTACTTTCTTCCCACACAATTACTGGTAACTCCAAACGGATCTATACTACTAGCTTAGAGTCGTCTTAAATAACGTTATCGAGTGTTTTTCATATTCCGCAATCCAGTCACTATAATTATCATGTGATACCACAACATCAGGTATTTGAAAAATACCTGAACAGTACGTGATTCAAATTCAGTAGAACCAGAATAATCAAACTTCGATATCAAATAAAAAGATTGAATAAATCAATTAAACTAATAATATCTTTAAACCATTGACGAAGTAAAAAAAAATAGTCACTTAAACTTCATCCTCATAGTTTACATAGAGGAAGCCAACAGTATTTTTAAATAAATTAGTAAAAGAATTATTACGTAATAAAATATATTAATCAACAAATATTGAAATAGCTAATAAATAAAATATAATTTGCATCCGTAGAAATTATATCAGCTAAAACTTTGTATGGATAATTTATTAATTATCATTTATCGTGATTTGTTTGACAACAATATAAAATATAATATGACCTAGCTCCTAGACAGTCTCAATAAAATTTTAAAATCAATAACTTCAAATTATTTTAAAAAAAGTTTGAAACATGTTGACCTTTTAGTTTATAAATAATTCGCCCGTACAATTTCAGTACGTACAATTAATTTATCATTATTACAATAGAGCTTCTAACTAATATATATATATATCATCTTAATGCGTATTTATTTTCTAATAAAATTCAAAAAATCTTATGGTGATATAAACTAAGTTTAAATTGAGCAAAACTGTTACTTACTTTCGATGATAAGTTTCGTTCCGTGGCACGTGGCTTTCACTTCTATTCGTCCTCGTCGTTCAGTATGATCGCAACCGCATAAATTCGGAACACTCTCCTGGCACCGCTTATGTACATTCATATCACATGCTAATTTGTTTAAGTATAATATACAAKTTTCAATTAAAATTAAATATTTATAATTTTAAAATATTTTTACTTTGATTAAATTGTGTTAAAATACAGTTAAAGCTCAAAAAAATAGTAGATATGATATATTGTGAAAACGTCATGCATAAAATGTTATAAAACTGCCATGCAATAGTATGAATTAATACTGAATCATATAAATAAAATTTTAAAGGTAGTAAAAAGTTAATGAAACTAACAGTAGA